AAATCTGTCTGCGTAGTTTTTTACAGTCTTTGCATTTTTTTGCAAGAGCGAGGATGTTTCTTTATGATTCATTAAAAAATATGAAAAAATCCCGCCAAAAATTTCCGCGAAACCCTCTTTCTAAATTCATTTTATATCCCGGCATGGCGCCAAATAAAAACATACTCATCATATACATTATTCTCATATTTTTTTATTATAAATATTATATTCATTTCCTATATCCATATAGTCTCATATGAGGCGCTGTGCTAAACGCACTTTGAACCCTATATTTTAAAGAAATACTTAAATACTTGAATGTTTTAACTTTTACATTATCATATAGACTCTCAAATTATTACGCATTTTGGCTGAGAACTATGGTCTGCGAGGTACATAGATAGAAATCAGTACCTCGCAGACTATAGTCTCTATATGGCGCCGAAAATTTTTTGGTGAAATGCGACGCATTCACCAAAATTTTCGGGCCATAGGGAAATTGGAGGGTGTGAGATACTATTACATGCTATAGTACTCATTGTTGCATGCTAAGTTCGGTCAACGATAGAAATTGAGTGGAAATTAATCGTCGAGGAAGTACGATTATGTAAAGTAAAAAATGTTGTGGATTTTTAATATTATATATTATTTTATAATAAATTTTTTGAGTCATTTTAAGAAGCACATATAATTTTTTGAAATTAAAAATTAAAAGTAGTGTCAAAGCGAATTTATTCACTTAATTTATACTCAGATTTTCTTAAATTATGAAAAAGGTTTTTGAGAACTTTTGAGGGGCGGCGTAAAGGTTTGGCGTCTAACCGTCCTGTATAAACTATTCATTTTTGAGAAGTTTACACCATAATTGAATAGTTTATGGCGTCCTGAGAGGAGATTTCGATGGGTATGGCGTCCAAAAAATAGAGAAAATGAATTTTTTCTCGATTTTTCTAAAAATTGAATTTTTAAAAAGAAAAAACAAAACGTATACATTCAAGAAAGACTATAAATGAAGATTTTTCTATTTTTTTCATTCTAAACATTTTTTGGATAATTTTTTTTAATAAATATGTGAAAGATTGAAGAAAAAGTAAATTTACTTTAAGAAAATTCGTTTACATGATGTAAGACCATAACAACTATAAATATTCAATTATTTAAAAATAAAAAAAGAAAAACAGATTAAATGTATCTCACATCAAAATCCATTGACCTAGGATGTAAGTTTCTGTTTTTAAAAGTTGATATTTTTTTTTTTAATTTTAAGAAAATTAATAGCATGTATTAAGACAATAGGAGTGAAATGATATTGACTAAACAGAAATGAGAGAATAGAGATATAATTTGATAAGCAATATTGCGAACAAATTCTGAAGTAAATTGCGATCAATAATTGAAAATTACGATCATGTACTGAAAAATGACGATCGAATTGAATGAATAGAATTATATCTAGAAAAAAATAAATTGTATTTAGAAGATGAACAAAGAAAGGTGTATGCTAAAATCATTTAACAATAAATGGAAATAAAACGAAATTGTTAAAAGAAAAAAAATGAAAATTGTTAAATAATATTATTATTTTTTGTCATAAGAATAAAAATATAGTAGTTAAAAAAGGAATTAGACTTCATATATCAATACTTTTTCTCTGTAGATGTGGAACGTTTTGCTTTTCGATCTCTTTCGATGAACTTGAAAATATAGATTATTATCGCTGAGAATCCTTCCGAAATAGGAGCTTTACGTTTAGGAGGATTGTCGGATGAATTTTGTTTTTTATTGTTTGATTTGTTGTTATGGAAGATTTTTTCTTATTTTTTTAGAATTTTGCTTGCTATTAACTGAAACTTGGTTTGACGGCCCAACAATAGCATTTGTAGTAGGAGAATTCCAATACGAGCGCATTTTCGATAATTGTTTTTCAATATGATCAAGAAGGTCCGCTTATGTTCTAGATACTAGACATTTGATTTGTAGACAGGATGGTTTTGATTTTCTGGTTCTAAATCTGTAGAGTCTGCAATATTTGAATTTTCGGAGCGAATTGGAGCTCTGAACCTTGATTTGTATGGCTTGCTCAAATTAGTTGAATTGGAGTGGATGAATTAAATCTGGATGATTTAATGTTTTCTCGTAAACGAAAAAGGGATTTGACTCCGTCAAATCCCGCGCTCACAAAAAGTGGACTTACATGTCAAATTTTAAATGCATGTAAGGTCCACTTTTATGAGTTTTAGGAAGGAATTGGAGGCCACTGAGTTACTGACATTTCATCAGTATCTCATAGCCTCCATTCCTTCGCAAAATGGGAGAAACTTTGTCCGAATAGTTAACATTCGGACAAAGTTTCTCCCATTTTAAGAAGGAATTGAGGGTAAGAGATATACCATATGAATGGATATCTCTTACCATCCATTCCTTCTAGAAAGTGTCAAACTTTGGTTAATTGCAAACTATTAACCCAAAAGTTTGGACACTTTCAAGTGGAGATGGAAGGCTTGGGGTATATATTAATACAATATACCTCAAGCCTTCCATCTCCACTACAAATGGGAAGAACTTTGTCCGAATAGTTTTAACATTCGGACAAGTTTCTCCCATATTTCAATGTAATTGCTACTGTGAGGTACTGATTTGAAGTCAAGTCAGTGCTTCACAGGTAGCAATATTCACAAAATTTAAAAACATTTTATCAGTTCGTTAGATAACCAGAGCCTCCTAGGTACTGAACCAGAATCAGTGCCTAGGGGACTCTAGTTATCTATATAAATCTGAGAAACTTTGAGGAAATTGTTCGACATTTCCTCAAAGTTTCTCAGTAATTTAGTGAGGAATGTTCGTTATCGTGTAAATATTTATAATATATACATGATAACAAACATTCCCCGCTAAAAGATGTAAAATCTTATAAGAAATAATTCCAAAAGAATAACAAATTTTATATGAAACTGAACCTTATGATGTAGTGATTCAAGATCACCGCTTCATAAGATTCAGTTTCAATCTCAAGTATCTCAAAAGTAAGGCTCTATTTTTTGCCATGTAAAGTATCACTTTTGTCAAACCGTTTTTATCGTTTTCGTTTACAACAGTTTCATTAAATAATGCCATAATTTTTTCTCTTTTTTCATTAATAAACTTAGTGATCATTGTATCTTTATCTGTTAGATCGATCGATTTGAGTATATCTGCATCATGAACTGGAATATTTTCGAACAATGAACTCGATTCTATGGAACCATATGGAGAAATCTCGTTCTGAGTCAAAGAAAGATCACTTACGTTGTATTGTTTGATAGAAAAAATTGTTTTCTCAAGTTCTTTTTGAAAGCAGTCAAGAATATAATTTTTGTAGCTATCAGTGATAACGGTTTTTATATGGCGCTCGATCTTCTGGTTATTTTTGATGGCGTTATATTTATCTAATTGGATTTGAGATATCTTCTTAATAGCTTCATAAATGTTTGGATGTTTTAACGAAGAAAATTCTGAATGCATACTCTCGAGGCAATCATTAGTGAATATTGCAGTTGCATTATTATATTGAGATATTAAATTGTAGTGCGGCAACCAAACTTTGTTGAAATAATCAATATAATCTTTGATCGAATCAACTTTATTTTGATTAATTATATGCATTGTAAGTACAAATTCTTCATGAGACATGAATGGAGTAATAGAATATAGCTTAAATAAAGAATTTTGTAAAGTATTGAAATTTTTTGTATAAAGTGCAACAAGTTTCCTGTGTAAAGCTTGTTTGAAATGAAATAGGCATCCAATTATACGGACTTTAGGGAAAATTTGTTGAAGTGCCTCTATCATTCCCTTTTCAAAATCACAATGAATTTGAATTAGCTTTGAAAATGGAATACCCTTGACAGTAAAAATATATTCAAATGCCTTCTTATAAGATTCAAATGTGCGGTTTTTCATGAATATAAATAAAAGTGGTAGATATTGATTTGTTGAAGGTTCACAAATCATAATTGTTAGCATCTGTCCTTTTTGAAAATGTTTTGGTGTAATTTTAAAAGTTCCATCGCAAAATAAATCTGTGGCTTCTTTTGCAAATTGAATTGCCTTCTCAAAACCAAAAAACATCGTCTCACAATTTGCTTGAAAATCATGGCCAATGAAAAACTGCTCGCCATTTATTAAACAAAAATTAGCAATTTCATCGTCTGTAATTTTTTCTCCAACAGAAAATTTTCTGGACTTATTATAAACTTCCCTGACCAATGAATCTTTAATTAATGGGTTTTCATCAGTACCAACAGCAAGTTCTGTCATAAATTTTTTAATCTGCTGAAAAGTGCCGTTGTCTTCAGAAAATTTTGCCATTGCCTTATTGTATATTTCTGTCAGAGTCATTGATTTATGAATATCATTTTTTTCATTTTGTAACTTTTTAAATTGTCTGCATTCGGGTATATGTTCCTTTTGTAAATCTTCGGAAACTGAACTGTTCTCAATTTTAACTAAATAACGTGCTTGACAAGAATGATCGATGCAACGGTAGTAACGTTCAATATTATTTGAATTAATAATATTTGTATGATCATGCGAATAAAGCATATCTTTGCGAACAATTGTATCAGGATATTTTCCAGTAACTGCGGGAATATTTTTAACTGCAATATAACTAAAATATCTTCTGACAGCTTTAGATTCATTTTCGGCGTATTTAATATTAAAATATTGAAGAACTTGTTTGATTATATTCGTTTTTTCATCTCTCGATGTTGATTTTTGGTATTTATCAGATTGTTCCCTGATAAATATTTTATTTTCGTCTGTAAAGTTTGCTCTTTTTTGATTAAATATAGATGATTTTCCCATTAAAAAATGAAATGATGCAAAATTTACGAAAACCGTTCGAAAATTGAATCAAAAATGAAAAGTAATACTTAAATGAGTAATTCTTTGAGATATTGGTCTTAGATTGAATGTAGCGTCATTCTTATATAGAATATATATTCATATCATCGGAAATATGATAAAAAGCATATAATAAATGTCAAAAAAGTGAACAAATAAGCAAAGATATTTTTTAAAAAACAATGAAAAGTAATACTTAAATGAGTAATTCTTTGAGATATTGGTCTTAGATTGAATGTAGCGTCATTCTTATATAGAATATATATTCATATCATCGGAAATATGATAAAAAGCATATAATAAATGTCAAAAAAGTGAACAAATAAGCAAAGATATTTTTTAAAAAACAATGAAAAGTAATACTTAAATGAGAATTCTTTGAGATATTGGTCTTAGATTGAATGTAGCGTCACAAATTTCACAAATATAATTTACTATACAATTTTATTCATTTTTTTAAAATGGCTGACGACAGTCTGTATCAACTAACTCAACTAGTCAAGCATAATGATTATTCTTCGGATTCATTAAATCAACTTTATCAATGCATAAGTACAATGACAGAAAGATCAATTGGATGCTTGAATTGGGATAAATTTTTCAAAAAAATCACAGTGACTGATGAAGTTCTTTTACATTTTTTAGCATCCGTTTTAAACATTGAAAAGATATCAGAATGTTTCAAGGATTCTATTTTTTATCACAATATTAATCTTGAAAAATTCAGTAATTTAACTGAAACAGAACAACAAACAATTTTAAATTCCTACAAAGCGGATAAATTTACATATTACATAATGTGCTCACAAATTGTAAAATCAAACTGGAACAATTTATCCCAAACTTTAGTTAATATTGCAAATCAATATTTGCCATTTTTAGATGAAGAAAAGCAAATATATATATTTACTGAAATAACTGGCAATTATCAAAATTTTGAAATTTCAGTTGCAAACTTGTTACTTTTTTATGAAAACAATGAAGAAAAATTAAGCAACTGTTTTAATTTAACATTGTTCCAGCAAATTTATTCCAAAAATGGAATCGAGCAAATGATATTTTTTGCTGCAAATACAATTTGTTGCAATAACACTTCTATCAATTTTTACAATCTCCTTGAAATTGAAGAAATGAATCCATTTGATTTTTTTTATTTCTCAATTCAATATAAAGAGATATTAAATTGCGATGATTTTCCAAAAGTTACAGAAGTAATCACAGGTTTAATCTCAGCTTCAAATATTAATGCTATTATGTGAATTTGCCAAAAAAATTTGGATAAAATTACATTTTATAAATGTAATTATTGCCATATTACCTCAATATGGAATTTTATCACAAATGCAGCAATAATTCTTCCTGATGAAGATTTATTAATCAAATTATTAAAATTCATAGAAAAAACAGAAAAAGCAACAGATGAATTATTCGAACCGGAGAATGATTTGGGTTTCTATGAATATTTAAATTCGATTTTCTCAGATATTACATCTGCGAGAAATAAGCAATTTCTCTTGGAATTTCTAAATACCCATGAAGATGACTTCACTTATGATCAAACATTGTGAGGTCATTTTTGATCAACAAATTAATTGAAATTCCGATCAAAAAAAATTCACAAATTGGATCAAAAAAATCGAATCTCAAGTTAAAAATAAAAAATTTCTACATTTTTATCAAATTTAGATTTTTTTTTCAAATCATGCGAATTGATTGAATAATTGCATATTTTATCCCATGCATCTAGAAGTATGTGTAATATTTTTGCTTTCATCAAGAAATTGTCGAATTTGATCTTAATTTTTTTTGAAAAATATACTTTTAGAAAAAGAAATAGTGATTGAATAGCTGCCCATGCTGTAAAAGGGTTATTTTTACAAGTAAAAAAATTGTTATTTTTCGAGCAAGTCGAGGCTTTTTTACCATCTTATTTTTGAAAAATTTACGAAAAATTATATCTGAAAAAACGCTTCATTTTGATATCTTACAATGATAAAATACCAATGTTGCTGGGATATAATAGCTACACCTGGACATCTACTACATTAATGCGTATGACAGGTAAAGTTGATTTCAAAAGTATAGCCTGGAAAGATTACAATAAATCAACGATAATTCAAAAAAATTTCTTATAAGTTAACATAATAAAAATTTAATTTTTATATTGCTTGTATTATACTTAAGTATATAATATATTTAAATCTTAGAATGAAAATTCGGGACGCCCTAGCTATTCAATTTTCCCTTAGGACGCCCATAAACCTCTCAAAAATGTGATGTAAATATCACAATTTTGAGAAATTTACACTAGGACGCCTTAGGACGCCAACCCCCTTTTTTACCCTTTTGAGAATGGTTTTCAAATTCCATTATTGAAAATATATAGGTATTGTATGAAATTCAAACTCTATATTTATTAAAATTCTAAATTTTTAATAAAATTACTTTTCAGAGGAATATGATTTTGAATGGTTGATTAATAAGTATAAAAATGTCTACGATTTTAAGGAGGGAATTGTTCCTTATGAGGTATACATCATAACTATATACCTCATAAGGAACAATTCCCTCTTGATAACTGGGAAACTTTCTCTGAATAACTTATCATTTGGAGAAAGTTTCCCAGCTATCTATTAGAAACTAAAGGCTGTGAGGCACTAATATATAATCAATGCCTCATAGCCTTTAGTTTCTTATTAAAAACGAGAAAACTTGTTCGAAATGATAAACAATTTCGAACAAGTTTTCTCGTTTTAAGGAGGGAATTGTTCCTTATGAGGTATACATCATAACTATATACCTCATAAGGAACAATTCCCTCTTGATATCCTGGATATTTTTGAATATATTTTTTGAATTAAAGTTCTCAAAAGTATTATCAAAAGTGATTTTTTAAAAATATCTCCAATTAATTAACTAATTAAAAGTATTATATTTTTAAAATTAAATAGTTTTTCAATTTTTTTGAAGGAATTGAGATACTTCCCACGACAATAAAATTGAGAGGTTTACATTATGACTGATCTTAGCATGCAACACTCACACCCTCCAACTCCCAATCAAAATCGCATAAAATTTGCTACTTATCTTCAGATTACCTCCCATTATAAAATATATCATTGCTATCTCATTGTACTATATTTCCACCCTATTGTATTTAAAAATATAAAATTTTTTGATAATATATTTTTATATCTTGAATTTTCAAACAATATATTCACAGATAATATAATGGGAAATCTATCTCAACCTAGCCTTAAAGTACCAAACTCCTGCTTGCATTCTCACTCACAAATATTAAACATCCATCTCCAAAAAACTAAATTCTTCACAATTTTTTAAAATTGAGAACATAAAAAACGTATGCATTCAATAATTTAAGATACTAACAAATATTAAAAACTTCAAAATATCAGATATTAACGTTTTTCAATTAAAAAAAATATCATTTTGCTTTTCAATTCGAACACAAATCTTAAATATTTTTAATTAATATCTGATTTACAGCATTATTATCCATTTATAAATCTGACAAATAAATAACAAAACCATCAGAAACAATGCCACTTTTTGTCAAAAGTGAAGTCGCGCTATTTTTCATGCACAACATGTTCACCGACATACAAAAGACTCCAACATCAGATGAAAATATTCAGCATAGAATGGAAGTACTGAAAGAAAATGTACGCAAATACAATAATCCTTTTTACTTACGACCATATAACGTTCAATCTTTGGCTGAACTCGGTGAAAATAAAAGGTTAAATTTCAACAAAACATATAGAAATGAAACATTGTTTAAAGTTCATTCAGAACCTAACCAATATGGAAACAAACCTACTTTTGTTTCTGCAGACTATGGAACTACAATGAAATGGGGTCATAAAGCTAAACCGGATAGGTGGTTCATAAACTTACAACCTCAATTCCAAGAAGTTGTAGACGCAATGGAAGTGAATGGTGAACCAGATATAACGGGTATTTTCAGCGCGGCTTTAATGCCATTGAAAGATATGAAAGATGCAGATATTTTGGACCAGTATGAAATGAACATGGCTGAGGGAAATTTAACACCTGACGTTCTAGAACATTTATCTCAAAGAACTACACAGAACCATAGAGATGGTATATTTGGTGAAGAGTTTAGAAAGAAAGTTAGGGAGAGAGAAGGAAGAGAACCTATTGTACATGACCCTGCAAACGAAAGTTTGCAAAATGTCAAAAACTTACTTTGCAGACAATGAAATGAGAAGGGATGAATATTTAAGAAAACTCAAATGGACAGTACCAAATGAAATGTTAGTATTGAAAAACATGTTCCATGACAAAATAAAACCAACTACAGAAATAAATGACGCAAGACTGAAACGTTGGGTAAAAGCTTTCCCATTCACAAAAGATATTATTGGTTACATGGAAAGAAAACCAGAATGGCTACAAAACATATATTTGGAAACGAGCTTATTCCATATGGACAAGCTATATTTGAAGAGCTTGAACCGGAAACTCAGGAAAGAGTCATGCAAACAATACGCGAAGACTCAAATACAAACTATGACAAAATCTTTCTAGGATATAGGTTACCTGAGATGGGCGACCAGAGCCCAAAGGCAAAAGGACATGGGAAATTTACAACATACTAGGTGAACATGAGGCAAAGATGCTACAACTTGAAGCAGAGGGCAAGTTACCAAAGCGACACCAAAGAAGAAGAGAAGAGTAGAACAAAGTGAAAGTAGTGAAGAAGTAACTTCATCTAGTGAAAGTAGTGGCAATGAAGGAAAAAGAAGAGTTAAAGATTCAGTTAAAAACTCAGTCAGGAAGAAAGTAAAGCTTGGTCCGAGTGGGTTCTATTATGACATATAAATCCAACTATTCTATATTTTTACCCATATGAAATGTACGCCGCTCAGAATATAACGCCAACAGTTTTGGATGCCATGAACGGAAATGTTTCCGAATGGTATAACGAATGCGACAATGCCATTAGAAGGTCAGAAATAGTTCCTGGAACTTACGAATATACAACTGCTGTTTCTTATGGAAACGTAGGTGAGTTTGGAGAAGGTTCTTCAACAACAGTAGATATTGCTTGCGACAGGTTTCATATTATTTCTATTGACAACTCATTCTTATACGTGGACCAAGACATTGAAATAAAACCTTCTGCCAAGTTGTCTGACAAGAAAGGTTGCAATGGAATTTTCTATGTCGGATACCAATATGCTCCAGAAGTTTTCATGGATATAAGATATATTCTAACTCTGACTTAGTTCAAACAGTAACATGGGCAAACTATGAATGGTTCGCTTTGAGAAACTCAGTACAACCACAAGCTAGAGAACAAACAGACCAGTATGCAACTATTGAGAAAATAAGAAGACTTGACCCTAACGTTCCAGGAGTTTATGTTGACCTTTCTGGTTCAGATGGAACTGCTGCACTAAAGTAAACTGAAACTTAGAGTTCCTTTGTCATCTTTCCTCATCTTCAGGTTTTTAAGATACTTGCCAAACTGGGCAGGAAAATTTCTATCGAACTTACTCCAAGCAAAAATAACTTAGTCATTGCATCACACAAGACCCATTCACTCTTACAGATACAGCTGGTGGAGCTGCCAGCATACCATTTGGAAAATGGTGCAAAGAGAAAGTTGACTTAGACTTTGGTTTCTCAAACCTCAACACTGAAGTAAACTACTACTTCTCAGGAACAGCAGACAACAATACTGCTTGGGTTCCTATTAAGTTCACATGCGAAAAATTTGAATGCAAGAGAATACAAAGCAGACTTGCCGTTTATATGTTGGACCCAGATATTTCAAATGCTTTAGCTGCCAAATATATTGCAGTTCCACTTATGTTCCCTATACACCAAATATCTGTCAAAGACTTTGCAGGTGAAGTTGGAAACCAAAATCCAGGAACTCCTGGTAGCAGAACAGATATTGCTTTAACAACTGCTATGAAACATGCAGACACAATGTTTGTTCTTTTCAAACGAACTATAAATGACTATTCTTGCTTCTACAACCCCGGTATTAAATATCATATAAACATAGATGGTAAATATTACCCAAGAGAAGAATATTCTACAGTTGAGGATATGAGGTCATACAACTTGACATTAGATGCTATGAACTTTAACAACAACTTCACAATAACCATTAACCCTGAAATGCAAAGTTCTATTATGCCATATGTGAAAGTATGGACTCATACAGGAGGTCAAAAAACTCAATATACAAATGGAGACCGTT